CTCCTCCCCCCGCCACACTGATGTAGAGGCAACAGTGTGTGTGGAGGGCAGGTGGCACAACAGAGCTGGTTCTGGGGGAAACCCTGTAGCAAGGGGAGGCAGGCAAGTCTGCAGAGTTGGCATGCACAGGGAGCCTGCCTGAAAACCAGCTTCCCACACGTATCAGCTCCAGCTTGCCCCTCTCACCCTCCACGCTGCTACCTCTCTATCAGAGGCAGCAGCATGGGAGGTGGAGGGGCAGGTGGATCCGGTGCTCCTGGGGAGCCTGCTTAAAGCCACTCTCTCACTCCCACTCTCTCACCCCTCCCCGGGAGCAAGCGGGGGAATGTATGTAGTAGACAAGATTAACCGATAAGCCCAGGTTTATCATTAATCGTGTAGTCATCTACACAATGACATCCGTAGTGCCGAGTTCCTCGCTTCATTTAAAAGTCTTTGAAAAATCCACTTGTTCTATTAAGCATTGGAGCAATTATTAACTATCACTCTTCTTTTTATGGTTTATGGAAATGCACCTAAATTACATTGTATGTACCTGTTCCTGTAGTCACACTTAGTCTTTGGTGCATGTGCCAATTCAGCACACTTCTCTTAGTGTACTAGGCCCTTATAAGTTTCTGGTGCTATTTAAATTAGCTTCTAGACCAGAAGTGGGCAAACTACAGGCCACAGCTAACCCATCAGTGCAGTTAATTTGGCCTTTTAGATTATCAATCCACTGGTGCAATGGGGCTAAGGTAGGCTCTCCCGCTAGCCAGGCCCCATGCTGCTCCCGGAAGCTGCCAGCACATCCCTGCATCCCCTGGGCAGGAGGTACAGTGGGCCCCAGGTACTGTCCCTAATGCTCCTGTTTGTAGTCAGTGGAAAGTGCAGTGTCAGTAGATGAGGGCTGCATGCAAAGCCGCATTCTTCACTTTGGAACTGCTGGACGTCCCAGCCAGTCCTAGTAGCGTCATGGGGCCAGGTTGTGGTGGGAGGAGCCTGCCTTACCCTTGCTGTGCTCCTGCCCACGAGCCATCCAAGGTAAGTTGTGCCCAGCTGGAGCCCACAACTCATACCTTTCCTGACCTCTTCCTGGATCCCAACTCCAGCCCTACATTCATGGCCCGTCATACATTTTCCCTACCCAGGTGCGGTCCTCAGGCTGAAAAAGATTGCCCACCTCTGCCTAGACTATGGAAAATATTTAATACTTCACATGCTGTCATACCCTCAGATATTTAAGTAAAAAATTGTTGGATTTTTTCATTATTAGATAAAATGATAGGGGATATACAGATACACATTTGATATTTCTGCCACTGAGTACTATCAAAATTATTGTATAATTATTATATAAAATCAAATTAAAAAATAGCAGTGTGCGCATTTTATTCGATCAGTAACCTTATTCTCCCCCGGGTTAACTAAACAAGTAGGCAGCAAGCTGGAGGTGATTTACCAGGTTTAGCCACTAGTGGGGGCCACCAAACACTTTGTTTACCTGGTAGAGGCAGCAGTGCAGGGGTCAGTGGAGGCAGCAGATTTGGGAGGGGAAATGTGATTAATCAACTATTCTTTTACATCTCCATTAAGAACTGCAAAACGACACAAATGTAATGCCATTTAGAAAAACATTCTGACTTTTCTAGAGCAAACAAAAATTGTCTCAGCAAGGGGTGCAATAGTTGTATGTCACAAGAGTAAAAATGCATTTTCTTGGATTGCAGTTTAAATCTACTAGGAGCTGGGTTGCCTGTGCACCTGCCTCTTACTACACTTAAACTGCAGATCCACAGCGGGGATAGTGCCTTCCCTTATCAACTAATCGATTAATCAAATATCGATTAATCATGTACACAATTTACCCAATTAACCACCTCTTAACATCCTTAGTTCATATATCTCAAAATATTTGAGTACAGAAATAACTTTCTTCCTATATCCTATATACAATATTTTTAGGTTAAATCACAATTCTATCATGTCCTCAATAATGCTGGGTTTTAGCACTGGTATTTATATTCTTACTCTCTAGGTGAAGGATTCAAGACTGGAAGAGAATTTGGGGGGGAGGTTAAGACTGATGTTAAACAGTAAGCCATTTTAGGTGAAATAACTGTCCTGTGAACCTATAGATTGTAGTTCTTTTTTCTCAGTACTGTGTCTGCCATCCAGTTTTCATAGTTTTGTAGATTTTAATACCTTCAGGACAACTTTTTAAAGGAAAAATATGTAATTTCCTGATGTGTTTGAAATTCCTGAATAGTTTTTTCCAGTGTTTTGACTAAAACTCGCCTTGATTAGCAAATGTAACTTTTCTCCTCTGTTTCTTTTGAAACTTTACTTCTGATATTGATTAAATGGTGCATTTTAAAGTATATTTCTGTATCTTTTTTAATACTATATATGTGTTTTTTCTCAATAGTTGAAAGAGATAGATGCTGGGAAGATTATCAGGGCAATGTTAACTTATGTATGGCCCAAAGACAGACCAGACCTGCGAGCCAGAGTTGCCATCTCTCTGGGATTTTTGGCAGGTGCAAAGGTAAGAAATGTTAGTTTGCTCAATTATGATGGCTGTTGCTGTAGCTCAGTTCACCCAAGGAGCATTAATGCTGCTGTTACTTTTGCAAGTAAACCTACAATTTAGTATTTGTCATACAACACACAGGTGTATGTAGCATAAATCATAGGTATACAGTTTTGGTATGTTGAGGTGCTTACTCTATACAGATAAATAGAATTGGATCAGGGAGGAATTAGTTGAGATCCAACAGAGGATTTGTATTGATCAGATTAATTGATTCCATTATTTGCTCACAACTTAATCAGTTAAATTATGAGGAAGCGTTTGTAAGTGCAAGAAGGGGGAAGGAGTGAAGGAGTGTGGGGAGACAGAGGAAGAGGGAGCTGAGGAAGGTGAGGCGGCAAGGAAGAGAACCAAGGCATGATACATGATTGGTGGATTGAAACAGATGGGTTGAGTTGGGTGAGTACAAGCCTTTCAGAGGCAGGGAGCTGGCATAGCAGTTGATGGTCACAAAATGTAGCATTGGATAGGGCAATTTAGTCATTTTGAATGGACTTCATAAAGAACATGGAATTTCCTTTGAATCTTTACAAGTTTGGCCTTGGGCTAATTACATGAAAATGCAAAGGATAGGAGGATGGAACTAGAGCATTCCTGTGGCTTACAGCTACAAAAGGAAAGCACTGTAGGCATCACCACCACTATAAACTTGTTGGCTTAGCTCAGCCATACATTTAAGAGAAGTAGTGGCATCCCTGTGTCCATAGGCAGCTCCTCCTAAACTGGATGGAAGGACACTTGCAGACCCACTTCTTTCATGTTAGTTTAACATCTGTGCCAGGGAAGATAATGGAGCAAGTAATTAAGGAAATCATCTGTAAACACTTGGAAAGTGGCAAGGTGTTAGGGAACAGCCAGCATGGATTTGTAAAGAACAAATCATGTCAAACCAATATGATAGCTTTCTTTAACAGGATAACGAGTCTTGTGGATAAGGGAAAAGTGGTGGATGTGGTATACCTAGACTTTAGTAAAGCGTTTGATACAGTCTCACATGGTATTCTTATCAATAAACTAGGTAAATACGACTTAGATGGGGCTACTATAAGGTGGGTGCATAACTGGCTGGATAGCTGTACTCAGAGAGTAGTTATTAATGGTTCACAATCCTGCTGGAAAGGCATAACAAGTGGGGTTCCACAGGGATCTGTTTTGGGACTGGATCTGTTCAATATCTTCATCGATTTAGATATTGATATAGAAAGTACGCTTATTAAGTTTGCAGATGAAACCAAGCTGGGAGGGGTTGCGACTAATCTGGAGGATAGGGTCATAATTCAAAATGACCTGGACAAATTGGAGAAATGGTCTGAGGTAAACAGGATGAAGTTTAATAAAGACAAATGCAAAGTGCTCCACTTAGGAAGGAACGATCAGTTTCATACATACAGAATGGGAAGCGACAGTCTGGGAAGGAGTATGGCAAAAAGGAATCTAGGGGTTATAGTGGACCAACCACAAGTTGAATATGAGTCAGCAATGTGATGCTGTTGCAAAGAAAGCAAACATGATTCTGGGATGCATTAACAGGTGTGTTGTGAGCAAGACACGAGAAGTCATTCTTCTGCTCTACTCTGCACTGGTTAGGCCTCAGTTGGAATATTGTGTTCAGTTTTGGGCACCTCATTTCAAGAAAGATGATGTGGAGAAATTGGAGAGGGTCCAGATAAGAGCAACAAGAATGATTAAAGGTCTAGAGAACATGACCTATGAGGGAAGGCTGAAGGAATTGGGTTTGTTTAGTTTAGAAAAGAGAAGATTGAGGGGGGACATGATAGCAGTTTTCAGGTATCTAAAAGGGTATCATAAGGAGGGAGAAAACTTGTTCATCTTAGCCTCTGAGGATAGAATAAGAAGCAATGGGTTTAAACTGCAGCAAAGGAGGTTTGGGTTGGATGTTAGGAAAAAGTTCCTAACTGTCAGGGTAGTCAAACACTGGAATAAATTACCCAGGGAGGTTGTGGAATCTCCATCTGTGGAGATATTTAAGAGTAGGTTAGATAAATGTCTATCAGGGATGGTCTAGACAGTATTTGGTCCTGCCATGAGGGCAGGGGACTGGACTCGATGACCTCTTCAGGTCCCTTCCAGTCCTAGTATTCTATGATTCTATGTTTGGCTGTGAGTGTCCGTGGAACAGAAGATCTGCCTGGGGTGGTAAGATTCTGCTGCAGCTCCTAAAGGCAGACACTGTTGAATTTGCTTTAGTTTGTATTAGACTGCGCATATTGCTGTGTTCTTGCTGATCCTAGAACTATCCATTATAAAAATTAGATTAAAAGAAAACACGCAGGCCTATTACAAGACAAAGGTAGTGATTTCACCTTTATTTTATTTCTGTTTTTGAAAGAATTATGTGGTAGACCACAGTAAATTTGTGTTTATCCACTTTTGAGAGGAGCATCCGCACAATAAATATCCAGATTGTTGGAGGGTACAGTCCTAAGTTGGCGGTAGTTTTTGTAGAAATAAAGCCCAGGAACACATGTTTAATGCTCTCCATACACAGATTCTATTGCCTTAGAAAAAATATAAATCTCCTGTGACTGCTAAGTGTTGGGGAGCAAATTCTAATCTTTTCAGTGAAACTAGTGGCTCTAACTAGCTACCTCCCGACTGTGGGCAATTATTTATCTCACACGAGGCTAAAATTAGGCTGCAGCTGGGATAAGCTAAATTCTAGCAAATAGGAGTAAAAAGAGAAAAGGTTTTGCTGTGCAGAAAGTCTCTGTTTCAGGCCTTTCTGCATGGAAAATTGACTGGAATAAGCTATTCTGAAATAGCTGTTCCAGAATAAGAGTATCCATGAGGGGAATTATTCCAATCAGTGTCCCCATTGAGACAAGCTCTTACTGAGAAATGAGCTTCAGTGCTATAACTGGCTGAACCAAGTATTGTCTTATCAGCATTCAGCAATATGAAAGGAGGGTGGAAGAAACAAACTTGAGGCATAGGGGTGATAAAAGGAGAGTTCTTGGAAGAAAAATATGTTTGTGTAATTGAGCTGAAGTAGAGAGGCAATATCTTGACCTGCAGCTTTGTCTTACCAGTGATCTTGATCTCTTTCTCTGAAATGGCATTGTGATACTTTCTACAGTAGATGTTCTATTTTCCAGTTCCTGTGCAGGAAGTTGCTGATAACCCATCTAACAGTAAAGAGAGTATGGCATATAAGCGTAGTTAAGACCCTCCTCCTCCTCTTTCTCTTCTACCAGTGCTTAACATGCAATGGTATTTGAAATTGTATTTGGAGTGAGCTGTGAACACAATTTACCAAAGTTCAAAGCACAGATACCAGTAGCAGATGGCATGATATCCAGCATGTGGAACAAGAGAGTAACCCACACACTGGACATACATAGTATGGCATATAAGCGTAGTTAAGACCCTCCTCCTCCTCTTTCTCTTCTACCAGTGCTTAACATGCAATGGTATTTGAAATTGTATTTGGAGTGAGCTGTGAACACAATTTACCAAAGTTCAAAGCACAGATACCAGTAGCAGATGGCATGATATCCAGCATGTGGAACAAGAGAGTAACCCACACACTGGACATACATGTT